ACAATAAATTTATCAAAATTTCCCTCCTCAAAAATTCCCATTAATGTAATGTTTATCTATCATTAACTATTAGCGTATCAACACTGTCTGTACATATACATCAGTTGATTCAATTAGAGTTGATTGTTGATACTCCATTAGTTGCTATACACACACTTTACTGTTTCTCTTATTACCTTCACTTCAATCCACAGTTTAGTCTCACCCCCTCCATTCCCTCTAGTGTACATAATGTAATAACAACCTAACCCCTCATCACCATAAGGAGTCACTGGAGGAATGAATGACTCAAGAGACCAGGAGAGAAGAGAGTAGCCTGGTAAAGGCTGAAGGTGGAGCTAGCATTAGGAGGAACTGGGGGAGAGGGAGAGAAAGGGGGGAGAGGGAGAGGAAAGGAGGGGGGGAGAGGGAAGGAGGGGGGGAGAGGGAAGGAGGGGGGGAGAGGGAAGGAGGGGGGGAGAGGGAAGGAGGGAGAGAGGGAGAGGGAGGGAGAGAGATTAGGTACAAGGTTCAATAAGTTTAATAATGTTCTTACAGCGTCCAATGAAGGTGTAGTTTCTTGAATTTGATGAGGTTTTCTTGACACTTTCAAGAACCAGTTTAGATGAGGCACTAGGGGGAAGCCCTGCTGGAAGGAACCAATTCCTCCTAATTAATAATAATAATAATAATAATAATAATAATAATAATTAATGGAGGGTGTGGTTACTTTAGCATGTGAGATATCGGAAAGTATGACGGCATCCCACAGTACACTCCCTTGCACTGAACTCCTCTGGCTTCTTTTAGTTTAGGAACATAATCCAACAATGGAGCCATTTCCCTGTAATAAATAATAATCATAATGGCTGTAACTTGAAAAATTGAAGTCGGAATCCGCTCAAACTTGCTACACAGCATAAGGACATCAATATGTAACAGAAAATGTAATAAAAATTTGGGGTCATTTTGGAGACATTTTTTTGGAAAGAACCATGGGCTATAGTACAGGGATTTTTCAGAATTTTGACGTTTTCTTAAAATGGCTGTAACTCGAAAAATTGAAGTCAGAATCAGCTCAAACTTGCTACACAGCATAAAGGCATCAATATGTATCAGAAAATGTAATAAAAATTTGGGGTACTTTTGGAGCCATTTTTTGGAAAAAACCATGGGCTATAGTACAGGGATTTTTTCAGAATTTTGACGTTTTCTTAAAATGGCCGCAACTCGAAAAATTGAATTCGGAATTAGCTTAAACTTTCTACATAGCATAAGGGCATCAATATGTATCAGAAAATGTAATAAAATTTTGGGGTGATTTTGGAGCCATTTTTTGGAAAAAACCATGGACTATATATAGCCTTGGGTATTTTTTAGTTTTTTGCCGTTTTCTTAAAATGGCTGTAACTTGAAAAATTGAATTCGGAATCAGCTCAAACTTTCTACACAGCATAAGAGCATCAATATGTATCAGAAAATGTAATAAAAAGTTGGGGTGATTTCGGAGCCATTTTTTGGAAAAAACCATGGACTATATATAGCCTTGGGTATTTTTCATTTTTTTGCCATTTTCTTAAAATGGCCGTAACTTGGAAAATTGAGGTCGGAATCAGCTCAAACTTGCTACACAGCATAAGGGCATCAATATGTATCAGAAAATGTAATAAAATTTGGGGTGATTTTGGAGCCATTTTTTGGAAAAAACCATGGACTATATAGCCTTGGGTATTTTTCATTTTTTTGACGTTTTCTTAAAATGGCCGTAACTCAAAAAATTGAAATCGGTATCAGCTCAAACTTGCTACACAGCATAAAGGCATCAATATGTATCAGAAAATGTAATAAAATTTGGAGTGATTTTGGACCATTTCTTGGAAAAAAACCATG